CCTTTGCAGAAAAACAGCCCCAAAGCATGATGTTTCCACCCCCATGCTTCACAGTAGGTATGGTGTTCTTTGGATGCAACTCAGCATTCTTTGTCCTCCAAACACGACGAGTTTAGTTTTTACCAAAAAGTTATATTTTGGTTTCATCTGACCATATGACATTCTCCCAATCCTCTTCTGGATCATCCAAATGCACTCTAGCAAACTTCAGACGGGCCTGGACATGTACTGGCTTAAGCAGGGGGACACAGCTGGCACTGCAGGATTTGAGTCCCTGGCAGCGTAGTGTGTTACTGATGGTAGGCTTTGTTACTTTGGTCCCAGCTCTCTGCAGGTCATTCACTAGGTCCCCCCGTGTGGTTCTGGGATTTTTGCTCACCGTTCTTATGATCATTTTGACCCCACGGGGTGAGATCTTGCGTGGAGCCCCAGATCGAGGGAGATTATCAGTGGTCTTGTATGTCTTCCATTTCCTAATAATTGCTCCCACAGTTGATTTCTTCAAACCAAGCTGCTTACCTATTGCAGATTCAGTCTTCCCAGCCTGGTGCAGGTCTACAATTTTGTTTCTGGTGTCATTTGACAGCTCTTTGGTCTTGGCCATAGTGGAGTTTGGAGTGTGACTGTTTGTGGTTGTGGACAGGTGTCTTTTATACTGATAACAAGTTCAAACAGGTGCAATTAATACAGGTAACGAGTGGAGGACAGAGGAGCCTCTTAAAGAAGAAGTTACAGGTCTGTGAGAGCCAGAAATCTTGCTTGTTTGTAGGTGACCAAATACTTATTTTCCACCATAATTTGCAAATAAATTCATAAAAAATCCTACAATGTGATTTTCTGGAATTTTCTTTCTCAATTTGTCTGTCATAGTTGACGTGTACCTATGATGAAAATTACAGGCCTCTCTCATCTTTTTAAGTGGGAGAACTTGCACAATTGGTGGCTGACTAAATACTTTCTTCCCCCACTGTATATCAGCCCCCAGTGTGCAGTGAAGTGTTTAGATACACAACTGTAGCCCAAAGGCCATCATCTGAGTTGTGACTTTCTGGCTATACTAGAAAGGACAGAGGTCTGGCACTCTCTAGCTATAAATGCCAGTAAATCAAGACAGACTGATAAAGCAGAGAGAGTTCGGTAAAGCAGAGATGATGGATGGCCCAGCCACTGTCTGAGTAAAACATTTCACTCATCTCAATATATTTGCCAACATTCATATGGAACATTTTTACAGCCTATAATAGTCCACTTGACTGTAGTTATAGCCTACTTTCTGTAGCCTACATGTGAAATGAGCACAACTCACATTAATTTTGAAGACTAGCCACCTTGTGTGCTTACAAAGCTGTTATAAAACACTTGTTTTTAGTTCCTCATTCACACAGACAAGAGCTCATTCTGGAAATGGTAAATCGTGATGTCAAGACATTATACACTGAGTGTACTGCTCTTTCCATGACATAGACTGACCAGGTGAATCCAGGTGAAAGCTATGATCCCTGATTTATGTCATTTGTTAAATCCACTTCAATCAGTGTAGATGAAGGGGAGGACAACTTTGATGGGGGTGGGGGCCACAAATAAACTGGAACTCATCATGAGGGGCCATAGTGGCTCATGGGTCTGCATACCCACATCCAGTAAAAATAAAAAATAAATCTAAAAAATGTTTTGCTGACATTGGCTAATTGAGTGACTGCTGTGCTGATGAACAACCACATTTTGAAATTGCACCTTGTGTATTCTATTATTCTAATTCTCAACAGTAAGTTGAGAACACAACTGAGTTCCCCCCCCTAAAAAAAAGGTCTGCAGGCCTACAAAAGTGGGGTGTTCCTAATGTTTTCTACAGTGTATAGGCTAATGCATTATAGAAACACGCCTAATAAACCAAGATCGCAAACAATACATCAAAACTAATGAAGAACAAAATCGCTGCCAGTAAATTGATAATAGACTGTTTGAGCTCTAGGTTAACTGACTGACTGAAGTGCAGTATATCCACACCACATCAAACTCTTCAAAATTAGAGATGCGTTTAAAGTTACTGTACCTTTTAAACCCCAGTGGTTGAACCTGCAGCTTCATTCTGCGGAGGTCGTGGAGACAGTCTGCCTGACTGTCTACTGCAATGGGATTGGACAAAGAAAGTAAGCTAGATAACAAAATATTTTCCATATCAATATGCACAAAACGTTTGATATTGATAGGCCATTATAACAGAATGATTGACATACCGGTACATTGTCTGCAAAAGCAGAGCTTCTGTATAGTGGAATGCCCTCTTTATGTCCAGGCCTATTGATGTGAAATGTCCACCAATGTATTTGCAGCTGCCAATCAGATGTTTGTGTTTCATGATTGTTCAATCATGTTTAATGATTCAGATACAGATTGGCAGGGCATAGAGGATTCTAGTCTATTGATAGGGTGCATCTCAATAGTCTATTCAACAGTGGTTTGCTCTTCTTGTCTCCACTCCTTCCCTTCATCTGCACTGATGAAAAGGATTAGACAGGTGACATTTCCAGTGGGAATCCACCATATTGTTTTAATCTATTCTGTGACTACAAAGGAGTGTTAAAGGGGATGAGGACCCAAGACTAGATTATTGTGATGCACTCGTGGACTACATGGAAACAGTGCCACTGTGTGGCTAACAGTGAGTAGTGCCGAGGTTGGGCCCTTGGAGAAAAAGTTTCCTAGAATAGAGCCCCACAGTGGGGGTGTCAATTATACCCATAAAACCTAGCGGTCAAACAGGAAAATGGTTCCAATCGTTTTTCCCATAGGGAACAATTTAAATAAGGGCTGTGTTTCCTGTAGGCTTACCCTGGCGTGATGTTTTGATAACCATGTAAGTCTCTCTTGGACAAAGTGACTTTTATCAATATATTCTGCACTATTTACTCTCAGATTTGTACATTCTAATTAGCATCAAAGTAGACATCATGCAAGATTACAAATCTCTGCACGTCATCTCTAGCTGACACCTTTGCTAACAGGTATTGTGTCAATTTAAAACTTGCACAAGGCATTTCACAGAATTGTCAATTTAAATGAATGTAGCAAATGTATTCATTACTAAATTTAGCTAACATTAGATAGTTAATCTAGATAATCTTACCTTTGGCTCTATTTGGCAGTCTCGTCCAGATCATCATGGCATTTATAGTCTTTATGATAGCCACATTTATTTTTTTTTGGGGGGGGGGATAAATGCAGGCGAATATATTGATAAAAGTCACCTTGTCCTAGAGAGATTACACAGTTATCAAAATGTCACACCAGGGTAAGCCTACATAAAACAGTGTTTCTAAAATCCCCTATGGGAAAAATGAATGGAACCATTTCCTTGTTTGACCGCTAGGTTTTATGGGTATTATGACTCATAATACTGTGGTACTCTATGAGCCCCAAATCACTCACACATAAAACACAGAGGTCGACATCAGAAAACAACTAGTTGAATCCATATAAAAAGTAGGTTGCCTTTATTAGAAGCCGGGAAACCAAAACGTCATCAACATCATTGTTGTCGTGGTTACTTTGTAAGACCACAATATTGCCTTCATCATCATCATCATCACTGCTCACTTTTCCACAACATGCAAAAGATTAAACAGTTCAGCGTTCCCTTTCCACACCACTGACAAAAGCTTCTCGGCACCATCACCTGTAAGAATCACAATTTTGCTTAAATTGTACTAGCAATGTAAATGCAAGATACATAGAAAAAACAAATGAAAAGCAATATAAATGCAGGGATACTGAAGAAAGCATGGGAAAGAAAAAGCAAATCCATTATTTATCATGGTTATGTCTTCATGTTAAACAGGGGGATTCAAATCTGAGCCTGGAGGTCCCCAGCACTGCTTGGTTTCATCCTTCCCCTCTAAAAAAGGGCCTGATTCAGACCTGGGACACCAGTGACATTAATCATTCGGTTATCGAGCAGAAAAGAAGCTCAGTAGTTTGGATCTCATTTTCCTGTATGGAAGTGCTCTGTGGGAGCCCCTGCACAGAAACCCCATACAGTACAAGCATTCAGTGACATGATAAAGCCCTATACTAAGATGAGCAATCTAAATATATTCCTAACCCCAAGGCCCTTGTGTAGAAAAGGATTGAATAGGTATAAGCACTATGGTAAAGGGTCTAGGGGTCTGTTTGGAATTAGGCATATAAACGTATCCACTGCAGTCAGGAGGGTACCAGTGAAAGTGCACCAGAACCAAGGTTCGGTTTGGGTCTGCTCAAACAGCTTCTAGGGCACTTGTTTGCAGTCTTGGGGTCTTGAGTGATTTGGTATTGATCAGAACACATAATTGGGCCTGAAGGATAGGCCAACAAAATATATACATACAGTCCTCCGCTGGTATAATGACAGCTTTGATCTCGGTCAGCTAGGTCTTCTATTTTATTACATGTCAGACACCCCCTCCTCTTTTTCTATGTCAGATCTATGGCTTCAGTTGGTCATCATCCAAGAGGCAGAGCAGTCAAAGCGACCCCTAACGCCCTAGGCAGTACTGTAGACTGGGTGGAATTTTGGTGGAATCATTTCAGATCTACATGATTGCCTAAGGATTAGGGGGCTAGGGATTGGTTTAGTATTCACCCTAACCCCACTAACATCCCCTCCAGTCTACATGTATCACACCATACACAGTGCCTCCTCTCGTTCAGCAGGACCAAGGGAAAATAAGGCAATAAAAAACAGATTCAATCTTTAATCATCCAAACTTGTTTTAATAACTAGTTCATTCTCAGCTAAAACAATAATGAATCCAGATAGACCAAGAACGCTTTATGATACCATAGGTTTGGCTAAAATGTTTTTCAGTAACACCGAAACAATCTCTTGCACTCATTTCATGCAGTCTCTCTCACTTCTGCTCTTGTATACTCCTATTTGCAGATCAGAAACAACCGGGAAGGCATAAGCAGTGGTTTGACCTATATTCCTTTATATTGCTGTCACCTATCCAGTCATATCAGATCTGTGAAGGGCAGAGTAGGGGAAATACAGCTAGTGTTTCTTGGTTGTGGAGGAGAGCGGAGGTGTGGAGCAAAACAATAGCTGGCATCAAGCTTCTGTGAGAGGGAGTGAGTATGAGCTGAGTGCAGAATGAGAGAAAGGAAGAGAGTGGAACAGAAAGGAGGGATTGCTGGGTCTGCTCTCCCAGACAGTCATAACACAGCCGAAAAACAGATGGATAGGGTCGACTTTTCTTTAAAATCAAGATAAATTTTATTTCTTTTCTTAAAAAACAAACATTACAAAAAAATCTGAATAGAGAAGTAAAGCAAACCAACCCAAAAAAAAAAATCAATTTGGGGACTCAAAATTAAATTCTATTTAAAAAAGCTTGGGGATGCCTGGCACAAAGGGTTGAACAAGAGAGGATGCTCTGTGTGTGTGTATGTATGTATCACGCCCAGCAAAGAGGCATCCAAACATCTCTGAACCACAAACCAATGGTAGAGGGTCTAGGGTGAGGACCCAAACCCCTTGATGGTGTGCTCCATCACACCCTCACACTGTGGTAATACCAGCACACAGTAAACACCCAGAAAGAAGAGGTTCTCGGCGGGCTGATCTAGCACCTGCTTCCATGACCCCCTCAATCACCACATCATTAACCATTTACAGCTCATAGCAGAAGCTCAGAGCACTCACTCTGTCTAAAGCACTATAACACACTGCTACTCCAAAGCAGTGATCTTCAACTCTGTTCCTTCTAGCACATTACTGAACAGTTACATATTCAATAACAAAACAAGCTTGTGTATGTGTTAAACTCAAGGTCCTTGACACAGGGCCAGAGCATAACCTCAAGAGTATGGGGAAATATAACAGAGCATTAATTTAACTAATTAACATTACAATTAACAACCATAAAACCTTCCTGTTAAAACGTGTTGTGTTTGAGAGATTCAAAAGCACAGTGTCTGTCTGCACAGTGCTATGGGTTTAGTGGGCCCAGGACCTCAGTGAGGACAATCTAGATACAGGGAAATAAACAGACAGGAAACACAGACGTCATATCCTCCCTCAAGAGTCTCCAGTGTGGCCCTCTCTGATTGGTCAGCGGTGGGTTGCGACTGAACCAATGGGTAGTGTCGCACAGTGAATAAAGTGCTTTGATTGAACACCAGCAGTCCACTGACAATGGAGAGGGAGACCATAACTCAGACTGGCTGAACAAACCCAGGGCTCAGTTAGTAATCACTGATCTAACACTACTGGATAGGCAAAAGCAAGGGTTACACTACATAGCTTTCACCTATCCAGTCATCTCAGACCAGAGATTACTTGAGGAGGAGAGGGGACAGAGAACAGGAGTAGAAAGAAAAGGGCTGTAGAAAGTTTTATTTTTTATAGAAGGCTCACTTGCACACACACAGCTATCAGCCTGCAGAGTGAAAACTAACGACTCTACACACCAAGCGACTGTTGTGGACGGATGCCTACTAGCACTGACCTCTCAGAAAGGCAAACTAACGAAGCTTAAAGAAAGTGTTTTCTGAGATTCACACAGACTTTTGTAGGAAAGACTAATGCAGTCACTTCAGAGAGGGAGATGAGAAATGAGAGGAAAGGTGAGCCAGTGGAGGTATAGCTGAGCAGAGGGGACAGTGATGAGGGGATGGGACAGAGTCAAATCTCACTTGTTCTTTCCTTCCATCCTTCACAGCCATATGGTGGTATACATGTTCTCATGCACACAGACACTGTCCTCAGTCAGTCAGTCAGTAAGGAAGATATAAACTAACACTAAACAACAAAACCACATGAGGTTCAAAACATTGAGCCAGGCCACCACGGAAACCGAAATAAAACCCTCTAAACCAAGAGAAACAAAACAAAAAACTTAAGGTTAAGAGAGAAAGATGTGGAAGGGGAGAGAGGTGGAACTTCTGTGGGGCTAGTCTTCCCCAGAGGGCGCGTCCTCTTCCGAACCGTCCTCCTCTTCCTCCTCCTCCTCCTCCTCAGCGTCTTCTTTTTCCTTCTTCTCCTTCCCAGGTGCCTCCTTTGTTTTCTTGGGAGCGGGGGAGGAGTCTTTCTTCACCACCTCCTCCTCCTCCTCTTCTTCCTCCTCCAGAGGGCTCTCTGGCTCCTCCTCTTCAGGCGAGCTCTTCTCTGTGGCCTTGGCGGCGCTTGGGCGACCTTTACCCTTTCCTTTCATTGGGCTGGGGGTCACTGGGAGAGGAGAGGCACACACACACAGTTAGGGATACACATTAATTCAATTATGTTTTGAGGCTGGAAGGATACTAAAACTTTATCTAAAAATGGCCTGTACAACAACCTATGCTTTTAGTTCTGAAGGATATGGGTGGGTGATTGATTCATAGTGAGCGGTCCTACCGGTGGCCTTTAGTCGTGGTTTGGGGGATTTCTTCTCCTTCCTCTCCGGCCTGCTCCGTCTCATCACCTTCTTGCTGCTCCTCTTGCTCTTAGAGCGGCCGTAGTCACTATCATCATCATCCTCAACCATGAAGTCCTCATCACTGCCCGACTCATCAGCTAGAGAGGAGAGGGACGAGCTAGTGATTATTGGTCATTTCACCTGACAAATGTCAGTTTCCATAGTGGTTTAATTTATGGTCCATGAAAGCCATTCATGTGGTTTATCTATAGTTTGTAAAGCACTGTGGTTGATATACGGTCAATGTAATATTGAGTGGTTGACTTACGATCCATGTAGGCCTGCTCAGTGCTGTGTGGATAACTTAGTTTCAGTGTACATTTTTGTGGTTGTGTCAGTAGTCCTATAGTGTAGAGTGGTCCAGGTAGGCCCATTTTGAGTGGTTGACTTACGGTCTGGGAAGGCCTCCTCCTGGTCTTTGCGTTCCTCGTCCTCGCTGCCTCCGTCTCCCAGCAGGATCTCTCTCTGTTTGGACACGGCCTTGGTGGCAGCCTGGCGCACCGTACGCACCTTACGACTCACCTCCTCATCACTGTCATCTACACACAGAAAGATGTAGTCAGGTTATGTAGTGTGGTCCTCTGTAGCTCAATTGGTAGAGCATGGCGCTTGTAATGCCAGGGTAGTGGGTTCGATCCCCGGGACCACCCATACGTAAAAATGTATGCACACATGACTGTAAGTCGCTTTGGATAAAAGCGTCTGCTAAATGGCATATTATATTATTATTATAACACACAGTCATTATAACTGGCACACACACCTCAGTCTATGAGTCTTACCTGCGGGTCGTTTTCTCTTGGGCGTTCTCTTAGTGGGCTTTGCCACCTTGGCTGTTTTTCCCTTTTTCCCTCGTTTAGCTTCAAAGTCACTCCCTCCATCCTCGTCATCCTCCTCTCCAAAGTCATTGCCTTCATCACTACCAAAGTCATCTGCAACCAAACAGAAACATTCACCACTAGCACGGTCCCAAAACATCTCCTATCCCTAGTCCCCTTTCCATAGCTCTTACACCTAGTTGGACCCAAACCCCTATAAAGTTTGCCTCCTCTTCAGGACATTTTCCCTAAACCCAAGACTAAGCCTGAACAAAATCTCCACTTCTGAAAGGTATCATAGATTTATCACAAATCAAGATTTAACTAACATAATATTGTTAATCAACCAGTTGATGAATCAGAATGGCTTACCTGCTGAATCATTTTTGGATTTGGAGAGTTTTTCATCAGAATCCTCACTGAAACCAAAAACAACAACTGAGCAACAAGAACCACAGGAATCTGATACAGCTCCTCTACACATTAAGGCTGGCTATTATAGAACCACCTAATCTTGAGTGGAGAGCCCTCAACTCGTATTTCTAAATCATGCTTGATGACAATGGGAGATGTTCACTGAAGTGCGAGTTAGGATTCAGCCTTGTGCTGCTGTTCTCTGGGCTCACCTGTCCTCCTGAGAGTTAGGATTCAGCCTTGTGCTGCTGTTCTCTGGGCTCACCTGTCCTCCTGAGAGTTAGGATTCAGCCTTGTGCTGCTGTTCTCTGGGCTCACCTGTCCTCCTGCGAGTTCTTTGACCGCTTGCGCTTCACCTCGCGAGGAGCCGCACGAGGCTTCTTAGGCTTGTCTGAGTTCCTCCCATACTCCTCATCTACAGGGGAAGGAAAAGGGGGTTACACACTCACAGCTTAGCTACAGGGGAGAGGGGTTGTAGTTGCACACACCCACTCTTGCTCTCTCTCACCTGCATCATCAGACTCCTGGAATTGTGAGTAATTCACCACCTTCTTGTTCCTGTGAAGTAAACAAAACAGCCAATCAGAAATTCCCTTTCCTGTTTCTAGTCGGTAGGATGAGACTGTTGTCATAGGACAAAACATGCATAAATAATAATAATCACAGCCTTTCACTACCGTACAGGTTACATGCGGTCAGGGTGACCCAGTCATCTTACTCTGCCCTCTCCTCACAGAGGACACAATAAGGCTAAAGGGTACAAATTCATAGTCTAATGTGGCTATTCATCTGCACCAATCTCAACACACAGGGTTGATTAAAGATAAATGAAGGATCATGATCAATGTCCAATGCTTTATGTGAGTCCAATTATAGAATGTTAGCAATGTAGGCCTACCTAGTTCTAATTCAGAAATTCACTTTTCACAATATCATGCCACTCCGAACACTACCGTGCTGGCTGGAATATTGGCCTGAAAAACATCTCATGGTGTTGACTCAAGACCATGTTAGCCCACTGATGATCGGGCATTGGTCCTGGGAACTAACAGAAGTCTTCAGATTAGAGATGAGATAAACATAACTCTATGAATCTGGTTCATATAAGATGCCCAACTCTGTATGGTTCTTCTCATCTCCAGTAAGAGGATAATATATGCGTCAAAATGCAGGCAAAGATTTCAGGCGCAGCAGGGTTTTATTAAACCTCAGCTCCCTCTACACTCAGTGGTCAACCATGTATCAGCAGCATGTGTTGCATGCGTTTTAATATTAAAGCTCCCTCACACAGACACAGAGTTTCTCTAGTAAACTGGACACTGGTGTCCCACTTCTCCAGTTTCAAGGGCTCATTTGGGATAGTGGATGAGTGGAATGGGTGAACACACACACACACAGGCACGCAACTTTCACTGGGGACTGGCGGACATGACCCCCCCCCCCCCCCCCACATTCTGAAATTACATTTTTGTGCCCCCCAGTTTTATCATTGCACTGTGATATAAAAAGTTGCATCTGTGTGATTTAGGTCCATGCAGACGCCTTAGAGCGGTCGGGTAGGCTGTTTGGCGGTATCAGCTGGCTGGATTTAGGACCGCGCGGATACCACAGAACGTGCGAACGGCAGCTGTTGTCTGTGTGTGTTGTGCTTTTTCTCTGAGTTGTAAAAGCAAGCAGAGCAAAAACTGGCTACTCTTTATTTGACTGATGTAGCTGGCAAGGTAACTGCTGTTTGACATAATAGAAGAAAACAAGTTCAAATCAAATCAAATTTTATTGGTCACATGCGCCGAATACAACAGGTGCAGACATTACAGTGAAATGCTTACTTACAGCCCTTAACCAACAGTGCATTTATTTTAAACAAAAAAGTAAGAATAAAACAACAAAAAAAGTGTTGAGAAAAAAAGAGCAGAAGTAAAATAAAGTGACAGTAGGGAGGCTATATATACAGGGGGGTACCGTTGCAGAGTCAATGTGCGGGGGCACCGGCTAGTTGAGGTAGTTGAGGTAATATGTACATGTGGGTAGAGTTAAAGTGACTATGCATAAATACTTAACAGAGTAGCAGCAGCGTAAAAAGGATGGGGTGGGGGGGCAGTGCAAATAGTCCGGGTAGCCATGATTAGCTGTTCAGGAGTCTTATGGCTTGGGGGTTGAAGCTGTTGAGAAGTCTTTTGGACCTAGACTTGGCACTCCGGTACCGCTTGCCGTGCGGTAGCAGAGAGAACAGTCTATGACTAGGGTGGCTGGAGTCTTTGACCATTTTGAGGGCCTTCCTCTGACACCGCCTGGTATAGAGGTCCTGGATGGCAGGAAGCTTTGCCCCAGTGATGTACTGGGCCGTACGCACTACCCTCTGTAGTGCCTTGCGGTCAGAGGCCAAGCAGTTGCCATACCAGGCGGTGATGCAACCAGTCAGGATGCTCTCGATGGTGCAGCTGTAGAATTTTTTGAGGATCTGAGGACCCATGCCAAATCTTTTTAGTCTCCTGAGGGGGAATAGGCTTTGTCGTGCCCTCTTCACGACTGTCTTGGTGTGTTTGGACCATGATAGTTCGTTGGTGATGTGGACACCAAGGAACTTGAAGCTCTCAACCTGTTCCACTACAGCCCCGTCGATGAGTTAGTAGTATAACTGACATGTAATGTCAGCTAATGTGTTACATGTTTCATCCCCTATCAACTGAAGTTCTGTCTGAAGTGAATGAACTAGCTTGCTGGCTAGTAGCTACCACAGCCAGTTCAGCTCTAGCCTGTTGCCATCTGTCAGGTAGCAGTATCTAACAACTGTTGTGTGTATGGAAATGTTTTGTAGCCTTGGTTTTGTCCTGTTTCAACAGAAGTAAATTAACTTAGCTAGTTTTCGCCAGCTGAGGTACCATTAGAGCTAGCCAAAAGTTGGCTAGCGTTAGCTAGCTAGCTCAATAACTTCAGCTATTATTTTTGCCTCAATCACACTAGACCTGAATCAAACAGTGAAACCAGCGGCCAAACGATTCGGACATTTTTTGACAGAGCAATGTGAGTTTTTATTAGAGACAGTATAGCAATGTAATGTTATTGATCTGCCAGTTTCCCTAGCTAATTCCCTACTTTTCACACTGACATAGTAGCTATAAACAGATCTACAGGGTTCACTGTCATGGTGCACAGTCAGTACAGAACACTATGGTCATCATGTCTAAGCAGGATCAGATGGTGACAGGTGTCCAACAAGAGTGGCGCAGTGGTCTAAGGCACTGCATCGCAGTGCTAGCTGTGCCACTAGAGATCCTGGTTCGAGTCCAGGCTCTGTCGCAGCCGGCCGCGACCGGGAGACCCATGGGCGGCGTATAATTGGTCCAGCATCATCCAAGGTAGGGGAGGGTTTGGCCGGCAGGGACGAGGGTTCGTTTCCCACGGGGGGCCAGTATAAAATAAATAAAAATAAACACATGTATGCATTCACTAACTGTAAGTCACTCTGGATAAGAGCGTCTGCTAAATGACGTAAATGAATAATGGTCATTTCAATTATTGAACCATTATATTATCCAAGAATATAATCAATGTATAAATGTACACCAAGGTTAATTCTTTGTCATGCCTCATCTGAGAAGGATCAGATGGTGACAGGGGTCTCAGCATGGTCAGGCAACCAGGGAAGACCAGTCTGTGATGGAGCTGAGGTGAATTGTTTTAGGTGCAACACTTTATTCTATTTTAAGGCAGTCTGACAAAAGTTGATTTCCAAACTGTATCAAGGGTTGATAGGCTTTTTCCAATGACACAAAACATGCCTAACAAAAATCTGAGGAAGACACTATTGATGATAATTAATGGATACAAATATGTTTGAATGCCCAGTCATGTTCATATAATCTCAGACATAAATTACTGCAGTTGAAGACCATTCATATGCCAGTGAAACTGAATATCATGGAATCAGAAATGTAATTCCTCTGCTGGAGGTGTAAAACACAAAAAGGGGACATATCTGCATATGTTATGCACTTGTGAAGGCTGGCTGAATTCTGGCAAAGAGTATGCTCTTTTATCACAGCACGTCGCAATTTTTTGTTTGCTTGGAAATGTTGATACTGGAGACTTGCAACCTAGCATTTATAGTGGCTAAGAAATGCATTACCATTAATTGGAAGGTTGGTTATCCTCCCACAATGGATGGCAGAAATGTCACGTATCACTAGATTTGATTTATTACAAGATTAAAACGGTATACTGTGCAACTTTCATAAGGTCTGGATGCCTTATATGGAATACTGTACGACAAAAGGAGTCTGTTTTGAAAACATTCCCACGTCAGGGGAGATACCTATTTAGGCAATCCCTAGCTGCTGGGCTGTCCAGTCATGGCCCTGGGGGTCTGCCGGACTGTTGGTTAATAATGAATGTCTCACTAAGATCCTAAAACTGAGTGGTGTGTGCAGAGTTGGGGCTCTGCAGGGCAGTGGACTCCTAGGGGCAGGACAGGGCAATCCAGCTATATTGTGTGCAAGTAAAAAGAGCTCAACAGTACTATTAGGCCTATGATATGAATTGCAGTGCCCTCTAATTATTGGGACAGGTAAGCATTTTTTCTTCTTTTGGCTCTATACTCCAAGTTTGGAATTGAAATCAAACAATGACAATGAAGTTAAAGTGCAGACTGACAGCTTTAATTTGAGGGGGTATTTTCATCCATATCGGGTGAACCGTTTAGAAATTAGAACACTTTTTGTACATAGTCCTCCCATTTTACAGGAGCAAAAGTATTGAGACATTCACTTGTATGTGTATTTAAAGTAGTAAAAAGTTAAGTATTTGGTCCCACATTCATAGCACGCAATGATTACATCAAGCTTATGACTCTACAAATTTGTTGGATGCATTAGCTGTTTGTTTTTGTTGTGTTTCAGATTATTTTGTGCCCAATAGTGTCATTTTGGAGTCACGTTTATTGTAAATAAGAATGTTTCGAAACACTTCTATATTTATGTGAATGCTACCATGATTACGGATAATCCTGAACGATAATCAGTGAGAAAGTTAGACGCACAAATATCATACCCCCAAGACATGCTAACCTCTCACCATTACAATAACAGGGGAGGTTAGCATTTGAGGGGGTATGATATTTGTGCATCTATAACTTTCTCACTCATCATTATTCAGGATTCATTCAGATGTATCCATTATCATGGTAGCATCCACATTCATGTTGAAGTGTTTAGAAACATATTCTATTCTTATTTACAATAAAAGTGACTGCAAAAGGGTCATATTAGACTGTGTAGAAATGCACGAAATTAGCTTTAGATGGCCAAGAAAATTCTGAGGGAGGACCCCCAAACCTCCTGTCAGGTTATCTCCCCACCCCACTTCTTAGCCTCCCAAGTGGCGCAGTGGTCTAATGCTAGCTGTGCCACTAGAGATCCTGGTTCGAATCCAGGCTCTGTCGTAGCCGTCCGCGACCGGGAGACCCATGGGGCGGCGCACAATTGGCCCTGCGTCGTCCAGGGTAGGGGAGGGAATGGCCGGCAGGGATCAGTTGGTAGAGCATGGTGTTTGCAACGCC